CCTAGATAATGTGGCTAAAGATGCTGAAAGTGTCTATAAGAAAATCACAGAGATGGAAGGATGTGAGGGGGAGACCTCTGGGCCCAGAATTCATGATCAAAGTGGCATATGATTGACTTTTGTAAAGAAGAATATTTTTATACATTTTCCCCTGAAGCCAAGCCCAAGTGCCCCTCCTCCCACTAGGTCCATTGAAAAAATCTTGTGGATTTTTTCTAGTCCCTGCTCGGTATTTCTCTCCTGTCAATATCACCAGAAACAGTTCTCCTCACTCTTCTAGAATTTGACAAACTATCTTGGGGACCCTCAACCCTAACCCCATTACTTACCAGTAGGAGCAGCTTCTCTGGCTTGGAGTAGGAAAATCAGCTATCATTTTATCATGGGTCAGAACTCAAAGCATTGCTTAGCAAGTCATGTTACATGAAACAACTGTGTTTAGTGCAGCAGTGAGGAAAGATGTGGGATGCAGCCTGCATGTAGGTCCCAATTTACAGTGTCTTCAGGGACAGCAAAGGCAAACGGGGAGGTGGCTGGGCTGCTCCGTGTAGGCCGCACATGAGGCCTGCGGCTCTCCTGGGAAACAAGGCCTTTGTCGAGGCTTTCCTTGGAGAAGGCCCTGCCCACTGCAGTCGGCCAGACAAAGGGCTTCTTTCACCCATGCACTGTCTCTCTTCGTTTCAATCTTCTTGTTTCCTCGGCAGGTTTACTCAGGAGCAAAAGCACCACGGGGGTTCTTCTGGCATTCCCCCCCTCAGCAGTCTCTGGGTGTTTACTTGGAAGTAACTCCCTCCGAGCTCAGTGGGGCTAAACGCCAGGAAAGGGTGCATAAGGCTGCAGGAGTGAAACCTCACTGCATTTCATAGCCGCTATTTGCCCCCAAAGAGGAATTCTTCTCATAAAGAACCGTAAAATAGGCTATAAGGCCCCTCTGCCAGTTGGTGATCTTGAGGCTGGGTGGCACCATTAATAAGGAATTAAGCAGGAGTGATGCTACATCGGTTTTATGATTGAAGTATTTACTAAGGCAGAATTGATTTAATTGAAGGATGTTGCACATCAGCTTTCATATCCTCAGAATTCATGCATCTTAAGAAACTTCCTCCCTGTGCTTGACTGCTGGTTTCATCTCAAGGCTAAAAGTTCATTTCTTCTTGCTCTTTCTCTTCCTAAAATAAACAAGCCTGAGAGGGAAGAGAAGTGAGAAAGCCTGCAGGGGAAACGGAGATTGTAATCTAAATTTCAGAAGGACTATCTGCAGGAATAAGCCATAGAAGAGAGGATGAAGTCTCTGGGACGAGGCTACTCCGTTTGATTAGAACCGCATGCAGGATTGCAGCTCCCGAACAGGATTAGAAACATGTGGGGCGGAGCAGGGCTTGCCTGCCTCTCTGTAGCATCTCCATGCCTGGCTCGCTGCCCCCTGTGTTTCCGAGGGTGAAAGTCTGCAGCAGGAAGCCCGGTTTGCCGTTAGAGGCCTGACGTCCTTACAGTGGGACCTTTTAATTCTAAGTATTTTTAAAAATCCTTCTTAATTCATCCGGCTTCTCTGGCTGCTTTTGCCGGTTCTTTGGGACCCAGAGTTACTTCTGTGCAACGGTTTCCCCTAGGTCTGTCCATGCAACTTCTCTTTCGGCTGGGCCTTTTCTTGGTGCTTGTGGTAACAGGTAAGGAGTAGCTGGTTAATTCGGCCCGTCGGGGTGTGGGAAGAAAGAACCTGTAAACCGTCCCGAGACGTCTTAGATGGGACCGTATAAAAAAGATTTAAATAAATAAATAACACCCCCCCTCCGGTTCAGTGGGCCAGTCGCAGCTGGGGTGGGATAACTTGGCGTTTGTTGGAATACCCAGTAGGGCTCCCAAAGGAAGAGAAGGCTGGTCTCTCAGAGGCAGTGATGTAGGTTTTCTGGACAATTTCCTGCAAAATTAGATTAGCATTAGACTAAGAACACTGAATTAGTGGCGCAGTAGGTGGAATCTTGCCTGGTCAATTCCTTTGCATGTTTCAACCATCAAAGGGAACACAGCAGTAGATTAGGTAGCATACAAGAGAACTGACAAGAAAAGACTGCTTTCTTTGCCAGTTTATTCAATTATTATTCATTTATTAGATTTATATCCCACTTTTTTTCTTTTTAAAGAACACAAAGCAGCTTACGTCATGCGCCTCTTCCTGCTCGCAGTCATCCCCACAACAACAACCCTGTGAGGGAGGCTGGACTGAGACTGGCCCCAAGTCACCCAGTGGGCTCCATGGCTGAGAAAAGCCAGCCTGGGATCACCTGGGCTGAGTTCAGATGCTCTGACAACCCTCCATGGCTTGCTGCCCCTGAAGGCTTGCTATCCCAATGAGAACCAGGTCAAAATCTCTTAAAGCAAGTTTATCCAAGTCAGCTCATTACTGGAGATGTAATACTGCTAATCTTTCTTTTAATCATATGTTTTCATATTGTCCAGTTGTTGCCTCCTTTTGGGAAGAGGGTTGCACTTTGTACTGGAACATCCTTTAATATTAATTCACCAAGTAATTAATTCTTTAATGTACATGTGTTTTTTAATGATCCACTTGCTTCCAAGAAAGTAAAGCATGTTCAGCAACAATGGATTTTCTTTCCTCTCTAGAGTGCTAAAAGACTGATATTACAGGACTGGAAGGATAAATGCTCACATACAAAGAATTTGTGACTTAACTTTCAGCATCTAAGATAGTGATATATTGATGCCACTTAAACATGGACATATATGTGGATATTTGGACTGTCTTTTTTGAAGCTTTTTAAAAATTCTTGTCATTTTACTCTAGAAAATTGAATGTTCATACACACAAACACATTTCATGCCTATAAATTAAAAATGATGAATTCAAGCCATGTGATTAGAATGTTCTCTTTGTTTTGATGAAATTTCTGATGAAATATATGATTTGCAGTTAAAAATGAAAAGCTTGGAGGTGCACTCTGTTAGTTATCCACAGTTTAGATATTTACCATGTGCCACACTCTTCTGCCTGTCCCGTGTGCTTTCTATAACACCTTATCTTCCCTCCCACAGCTACCTTTTTAGAATGTGAAATTTGCACGGGAATAAAAACCTGCAAAGGTGACTGGAAGATTTGCCCTAAGGAAAAAAACTCTTGTGCCATCACTGTAATGGAACACGAAGGAGGTGGGTGAGAGGTGTCTTAGTTTGCCCATGGCAGTGAACATGCAGCAGCTTCGTACAAAATCTTGAATCCATGATGCCATCCAATAGTGAGGCAGACCAGTTGTCCTTCTGGCCTGCCATCTTCTATTCTGACTCGCAGTGGATTTTCAAGACCTCAGGAAGAGGTTTTTCCTGGCCTGCTCAAATCATATTATTTAAGGCAGGAGTACGGAAACCAGGGGGCCAAATGCAGCCTGCCTGGACTCCACTTGCATCTTCCAGGGTTCCCAAGAGGACCATCCCCCCTTCCCCTGAACCAGCTATATTACTACAATCACCACAAACTGGATCATTTCCCAGCTTTAGTGGCATTCTTCTCAATCACTGTGAGCTTTAATCTGGCAAGAAGAACTTTCAGCTAAGGTGTCTGTTTAGAGTATGCTAAATCCCCCAGTTGTAACACTTCTCATCTACTAAATAGATCCACTTTTTTGCAGCTCATGGCAACATTTTTGCTCTTCAAAAGAGTTGTGTCTATAATGATGACTGCGACCTTGGACTCATTGATTTGACTTATGGAGAAGGACAGTTCATGAGGGAAAATACCTTCTGTTGCTCTGGGAGTCCCTGCGTAACACCCCCTCTGGAATGTAAGGATTATGCCCTTTTTCTCTTTTGGGTCTGTCGGTCAACATGATCCTCACCCAGAATCCCTGGCAGGGGAGCTGCAGTCTGGATTACAAGCCTGAATTGATGAAAACCTGTAATGAAATAAACAAAATCTCGAATCTAGTGGGCTCGAAGTGGGCTCTGTGTCCACCTCAAAATGACGCTGCTCGAATTCAAAAACAAGAGTGCTTTTATTTTTAGCACCATTGATATCAATAATTGCCGCAGCTTTACTTCTAATGGAAACAAAAATGGCCAATGGAGGCAAAGAATCTTAGGATACAATCAACAGAGAAGGTTCCTCTCCTCACCCACAGAAATGAATGGGAGGTGCATAAAAACACCCCATTTATTTTAGCAGGGTTGGCTTAGAAGTAGTTCCTGGTAGATTGTAGCCACTGTGAGTATGTATGTGGCCACTTCCCACACCAGATATGTATATTTTGAAGCCATTTCAGCATAGTAATGCAATAACAAGCAGTTGGATTAGTAGATGGTGTGTTAATTTACTAACAGTTATGATATATATTATTAAGGGTATAGTCCTATGTATATTTGGACAGAAAAAAGGCCTATACCCCAAAGCCCTTTTTCTGTCAACTTTTCTCCCCTATCATCATCATCATCATCATCATCATTATTAAATTGCATTTCTTATACCATGGGTAACTGAAGCTTACTGGACAATTCACAACAGTTAAGTCACCCCTCCATGTTTCAGTCAGGCCTGACCCTGCTTAGCTTCATGAGATTAGCAAGAACAAGCACTTCAGGCTATACAGAAATGCTAAACATGGACAGGATTGTCTCTTCAACCAGCTCAAATTGTCTGTCTCCTTTCCTTTCACAGTTTCAGCATTCAGGAGCAAGGTTCAAAATGGAAAGATTTGCCCAGGCTGCTCTTCTTTGTCGTCAGTGTGCCTTGACGAGGTGGTGCACTGTAAAGGAGCAGACAACTACTGCTTCGGTTTTGTCACATACAAAGGTATCGCTTATTTTATACTCTCCACTTCACTAAGTTTTTCTTCCTCTTAGGCTTGTGGGTGCTTTCCACATTGACTTTGCCCTGCAGGCATTTCTGCAGCTACTTTTAGAACAAGGAAAAAGAGGCATTTGCTTTCCAGTGTGGAATGAACCAGAACAAGAACCTCGTGCATTTTTGTGGTGGACATTTTAATGTCATGAAAAGGATCCACAGACTTCTGTGAACTGGGGATTGAGAGGGCATGATCAATGCAGAGAAGCCCGTGGTCCAGCTAAAGGGAGGCAGCCTATAAAAGGAAATCTGAAATAGCAACTGATTGTTGCTTTTTATTGTGCCTCTCTTATTGGATGCAACTCTTTCCTTCTCAGCCTGGTATATTCAGTACAGGTGGCAGATGGGCAGAACAAGCTTTTAACCCAAACACAGATCACTGCCCAAGGACTTTTGTTTTTTTATTTCACCTACCGACTGATGGATTAGCTGGCTTGAAGTTCAAGTGGTGTGGCTGTTAAATAGGTAAAGTCCAGTTGCGAGTTACTGACTCTTTGTCATTGTTTTCCATATCCAGAAGATGACACCATAAACAGCACCACAAAGGGCTGCACTACTAAAGCCGTCTGTGCAGCATTAAATAGGTACAGAGGGAAGATTTTGCGTGGGACTGAGCTGAAAGACATAGCGTGTGAACCAGCCAAGGATGTTCTAGTCAAGGTCGCTCCATCCTCTGGATTCACTTTCCTGGCTCTCCTGCTGATGAACCACCTCTTGTAATGAGTCTCTTGCAGCATCTTGGCACCAGAGAAGGTCTCCTCATTTTTTCATACAAGCTTTCTTGTGCAAGTTTGGTTTTTTCAAGAGTTTTGACTTTCTGGAGGTTTCTTTGAATGAACACAAACGTTGGAGAAGGAAAAAGTACGAGCCTTTGCCTGGTTGTGCTGGTCTAGCAATAAAATGGTTTGGAAGTCAAATCTGAAATAAAATTTGGAATGAATAGAAATGTTGGTGACACTTCCAGGAACCTTGCTTTCTGTGGTAATTTAATCGATGTGATTAAATGTTCTTTCTTCATTGATTGAAGGTGTTCCTCTAATGGCAGTGAAAAGGCTTTGTAGACTAAAGCGCCCGTCTCTCTGTGTGTTGGGGGATGCACGCAGAAGTTGAGGAGAACTTCATAGGCTCCATGCAGCAGGCTGCAAGGCAGGAGTGCAAGTCAAGCAGGCTTTCATTAGGAGTAATCTTTCTCGCCAGGGGTGCTCAGGGGAGCTGAAGTAACAGTAGGTACCAGCCCATTCATAAGCTGGAAGGGGGGTTTGTAGATGGCTTTGCTTCCTCTCTCTCTGAAACTTCCTCTTGGTTTTCATCGTTTATGGAAACCAGTTATGACATGGGGGCCACACCCTCTTTGGTCCTGTGTGCACATTTGGGAAGCCATTGTGGGCGCTACTGCAACATGGCTGCCCTGGAGGATTGTGGCAACGTAATGGCTGCTAAGGGGGCCCGGGTAGTTAAAAGAGGTAGATGTGGGGGGAGAGAGAGAGAGAGAGAGAGAGAGGTTGGGAGGGAGGGGCAAGAGCTTAGGGCTGGGGAGAATCAGCAGGATAAAAAGGTGATGGAAAGAAGGAACAAGACTAGGGATAGGGATGGGAGAAAAATAGTGAGGAAAGAGGCTTTGTGGAGGGGAATGCTGGAGTGGGGTGAAAGACACCAAAGGAGAAAGGAATATTGGGGTGGAGGATGATTGGGCTGGGCCAGGAAGCCTTCTTTTCCTCCTTTCTGCATGCTGAATAGCTTGACCAGGGGCAGGTTCAGGAACTGGAAGTCAAGCCTGCCTCCCTAATATTTTTCAAGTTGCTGTAGGATTAGCAGGAGCCTCATCTCCATCCTGGAAAATTTGCTCCAAGGTCGGAGTTGGGACTCTGAACATGGAGTGGAGGCAGAAAGAATCACACTGGTTGTGACTCCGAGGTTGTAAGAGTGACCTTGGATATGGGCTTGGGCAGTTGGAGGGGAAGAGAAAAAAGTCTGTCTAGCAAAAATGGGGATGAGAAATTGAAGACTGCTTCCAACACTTCTCCCATGCTGCATTGAACGCTAGCAAGCCTTCAAGTTCTGGGGCTTCCAATCCTTATGATAGGATTTCTCCCTCACTTTCTTTTTCCTTTCTGAATGCTTCTGCATTCTCTTTGGGTCCAAGAGGGGCATGATCGGGTGCTTCCAGGGGCCCATGTCCCAGCAGGGGCTGTCTTCAAGAACTCCCTGGAACTGGTCCTCTTCCTCCTCTTCACCTTTGCAAGCTGCTCATTCACCTGCTTCTCGCCCTGGCCTGGACAGCAGCAGTGACAGGAGCAGAATCTCAGCAGTGAACGGCTGTAGTGTGAAAACAAGTTGCGTAAAGGTGCCTTTTCTCTCAACGATCTCCTTAATATTCCATGTGGCTCACCAGAGGCCGCCTTGTCCTCTCAGTCACACTAAATGACCATTTACAATTCATTTATTTATTTAGAATTTTTGTATGCTGTCCCATCGCTTATAGCCTCAGGATGGCTCACATAAATAAACATAATACAAATACAATTAAAATACAGTTAAAACCCAGAAACACTCTGGCTGCACAATTAAAACCTATAAATATTATCTAGCATTGTTAAAATATTTTTTAAATAAAAAAGTCTTAGCCTGGTGCTGAAAAATAACAACGGCGCCAGGCGGACCTCTCTGGGGAGCGCATTCCACAGATGGGGCCTTCCTCCGGGTACATTGCCTCCTGATGTCTCTCCCTGAGGGCCTCTGCTGCTGATCTCAAGGGGCGGGAGGGCAAATATGGAAGAGAGGGAAACTCAAGCCTGAAGTTTCTTTTCCTCCTAAAGCAATTGCAGGCCAAGCTGTGCCAGAAAGGGGCAGTCAAACACAGGGTGGGGTCTCTTGCAATGATCCATGAGTCTAAAGAAGATGGCACAACTGAACTTCCTCTTTCCAAGGTGGGAGGTTAGCAGCCAGGCAGGGCCAGCAATGCACCCGCAGTCTCCCCATCCCTGCTATGTTTGTGCTGTTTATTTTGGGCAGTGTATTAGCCTTTTCCACTACTACTGTGACATCATCACACATGCTCCTTCAGCCCCTTGCAAGAGACCTACCTGTCCAGATCTTTGAGGAAAGAAGTAATGCCGGGTCTCACTCCCTTACTCCTTACCTGCTTTCATTAGAATGTGTCGGGAACCTCCTGTTGAGTTGGATGGAGAAGCAGCTGTAGGACTGCCACATGATGCTCCTTCAACCCTTTAGGGCTGAGTGTGAAGGCAGTTGCATTAATAGGGCCACTCAGAAGGACATGCTAAGCATTCTTTCCCCTGGCTTGTGTTTTTCCTGGAAGAAGATACGTCAGAATGTACTGCAGATCATCTACTGAATCAGCTTTCTTCAATCTGGTGCTTGCTTTGCAGCCACCATCTTTATTTATTTATATTTTATATTTATATCCTTTTTTCCTTGCAAGGAAATCAAGGCAGCTTACATACTTCTCCTACTCTCCATCCTCACAACAACAACAAGCCTGCGAGGTAGGCTGGGCTAAGAGTCTGTGACTAGCCCAAAGTCACCCAGTTGGCTTCATGGCTGAGCAGGGTCTTGAATCCAGAACCCCTGAGTCCCAGTCCAGTACTCTAACCACTACACCATGTTGGGGTGGCCTCCCAGGCAAGCGAGAAAGGGGGTGAATGCAGGCCCCACTCACAGCTCCTCCCAAAGAGGGTGCTTGCTTTGGTAGTAGGTTAGGGACTCCTCCCTCCCTCCCTCCCTCCCTTCTTACCTAAGTCTGCTGCCTCCCAGTTGTTTCTCCGAGACTGGGGAGGCCACACACCTCATGCCATGGCTTGGGCTGGGATTTCCAGGAAGCTACTTCAGGCACATCATGGTAGAAGGCAGGACTCCCAGGAGAAAACATTCATTCCAGGGAAACTGAAAGGCAGAAGGAGAAAAGGAAGAGCAGCTATGAGGTGGATCAGTTCCATCAAGAAAGCCACAGTCCCGAGTTTACTTGGTCTGAGCAGGGATGTCAAGGCCAGGATAGTCTGGAGCGTGTTCATTCACAGGCTTGCCATCAGTTAGAGATGGCTTGATGGCACACACCAACAAGAGCAGAAACTTTGGTTGGGCTCCCGTACGGACATGGTGGAGCACTTTTGAGTTGGTCAACGCCAATTGTTCAAGACCAGTATCTGTCTTAATTAATAAATACATATAAATTTCTCCCAGTTGTTCATATCCTCTCATAGGCTCTCTCATGTCTTCCACACCGAGGAAGCAATCTGGTAGCTGTGATGATAAAGGCAGTTTCATTTTAAAAGAAATGGAATCTTAGAGGCCTTCATGACTGTTACTGCCGGTAAGTTGAACCTGAGCTTCCATGCAGTTGCATATCATTGTTAGAGCTGATCAAGATGTAGGAAGTTCATTAGTGCTAGTTATTATTACTCATTATTGCTGATCTTAATACAGGAGAGCACACAACCCACTTCCCAAATGTCTCCTGCCCATCTCACTCTACCTGCTCTTACTTCGTCATCTCTTGTCTGATTGAAATCATCCTCTCGCTCTCCTCAGCAGGGACACCGCAGCATGGCACATTCACCATCCTTTAGCTTTGATCTTTTGGGGATCCCAAAGGACAGTGAGTTGTCTTCTACCACCACAAGACAACAGTGGCTGCATTGTACGCTCCGGTTCGCCCGAAAGGGAACTTGGATGGCTGTTGAGTGTGGGAAAATGGGGATCTCCTACATAATCTCCACAAGCATAACATCAGACATATCGTTTTGCTGTGTTGCTAGGTTTCGGAGGGTAAAGCATTGGGTGTACCCGCTTGCCCAAGATGTCACCAAAGGTCCTTTGAGCCAGAGAATTTGTTTCACTACAGAAAGCATCCCTGTGCTAGCACTGTGGAATTCCCATCGCCATGCAGACTGCACTGCGACTCTTCCTCTTCCTTGTGCTTCTAACAACTGGTAAGGAGGAGCTGGTAGCCCTTTGGAGACTTGTTCCATTGGAATAGATGGGCCAGATCCAAGCTGGTATGTCATGACTAGTATGCATACATGATAAATGTTATGTCCAACAGAGTTAGAGAGTTGGATGGAGATCCGTCTCTTAAGTGGTTCTCTCCTTTCCTCTTCAAATTTCTCCTTTAAAGCCAACTCTACAGATAAGCCTTCACATCGACCTTGTACAACTTATCACTATCTGAAACAAAGGCTGAACATATGTAACCGATATTCTGCTTGCACATATTTATTCATTTCTTTTTATCATTAGATTTATACCCCATCCTTTCCCCACTTCTTTCAAGGAATGGAAGGCTGTGTTACCAATGCCGCTTCCTTTCACTCCACTTAAGTTAGCCTAACCCTGTGAGGTAGCTTAGGCTGAGAATCCATGACTTGCCCAAATGAGCTTCATGGCTGACGAGGGACTAGAAGATGGCTCTCCCGGGTGCAAGTCCAACACCTTCACCACTACACCACCACCACGCTTTATCCCTTTGTTATCAGTGCTTCCTACTTTCTTCTCTGCCCTGCCCTTCCATTCCCTTCCCTCCTGTTTGCTATAATTTAGACTGCAAGCTTTAGAGGGTCAACAATCCGTTCTTTTGTTCATTAGATCACCCTACAATAGGTGATGAACGTTCATAGTGGAGCGATAACTAATAACAACAACTAGAAGAAAATAGAAAAGAGCAAGCAGAATCAAGTCACAGAAATTATATATGGCACCAAGCAGTAAAATGGGGGTGGTCAGGCCCTTCCACCAAGTGTGTGGCTTCAAGAGGGGTATACACGGGGCAGTGGGCGAGAAGGGCACATCTGTCTAGCCAGCCAGGGCAGCTCAACCAAGCCTGGAGATCAATGGGGCAAGAGATGCTGCAGCCGGATTTGCCATTGCATCCCTAGCAGCAACACTAAACCAGAGGTCTGAAGATGCAAAATTCTTGTCATGGCTTAGCAGGCCCAGAGCTGGTGATGTTTCGATCAGAAGCACAAACAGGATTCTAACCCCCATGTATTGAAAGCTGATTTCCCTTTGCATCAGTTAACTGTGTGAAAAGCTCAGTTGAATCTCTCCTCACTTATCACATTTCTTTGCCATCTGTTTGTTTTGTGCAAATAGGAAAGGCGTATTTATTTTTTTAAAAAATGTGCATTCTTGGAATACAAATGCATATCAGAGAATTTGTAAGCTGTTTAGGAGAATGGGTTCTGCTCACGTCTGCATTTGGAATGGCAAATGAGACATATTTACAAGATTTATGTGCATAAATAACATTCTTATACTTTCCTATTACTGGTGCCATTGCATTATTCTTCTATGCCATTCCATTACGTAGACAGATGTTTTGTAGCAGAAAGTATGGAAAGACAAGAAAGGAAAATAGCCTCATGTAGAGCTCTGATCTTAACTCTGCAAACAAAACTGAAAGTAGAAACAGTAGGCCAGACTACCTCATCTACAAAAGCTCTCTCTGTTGACCTATAGACTAATGGGGACAGAGGAAGGATACCTTTTAAAAAATATTTTAAATTCATTATCAATAATTGTTTAAATATAGATGTCCTAAAGGAAGCATATTTAAAAGACAAAGAACCTATTTTCTATTGCTTTTGTTGAATACTACAGCAGAAAAGCAGAGAACTTTTTACCACGAACTCTGAAAGATTTTAATCTATTTATTTATTTATTTATTTATTTGGAATGCTTGTATGCCGCCCCATTCGCATAAGCCTCGGGGTGGCTTCCAACAAATACATAACAATATACAAAAATATAAAACTTTGATCTATCCGAGCAATAAATAAAAGCAATAAATAATTAAAACAGTTAATTAAAATAGCAAATAATGACGGCGCCAGGCAGACCTCTCTGGGGAGCGCATTCCAGATCAATCAATCAATCAATTAATTACAAGGAGTCAAGTTCGAAGAGTTCACTGATTTGTTTGTTGTGGTTATGTGTCGTCAAGCTGTCTTCCTCTCGTGGTGACTCTATGCATGAAAGCCCTTCAAATTGTCCTGTCTGTGCCAGCTCAATTTAGCTCTCCCAAGCTCAAGGCTGTGGCTTCTTCTATGGATTCAGTCCATCTCATATTTGGCCTCCCTTTCAGTCTTGTTTAGTGTGCTAGAATATGACGCTTGAGGGTGTCATGCTGTCTGGCACATTAAGATTCTTGTCCAGAAGGATTCTTCATCCAGCCTCTTTCTTCCTTCTTCCAGCTGCTTCTCTGGAGTGTGAACAGTGTTCGGACAATGGTACCACATGTGCTGGCGAAATGGAGACCTGCCTTTTTAATGAAAATACCTGTGCCATTCACTTATTTGAAGATTCTCGAGGTAGGAGAGAACTGTGGGCCACCTCAGAGCATTGGAGAGGCCAAGTCATGATAGATATAGCCTTTGCACGGACGGAGTGTCGGTTGGTCCTGGACTTGTGGGTTCACCTTCTCCATGTCCTGGGGAAGGTGGGTTGTGCTTTGTTACATGTTATTCTTCGATAACTAAGCCAGCATCTCTCAAGGAACATCTCCTCCCTTATGCATCTGCTCATACCCCTATGTGGCCTATCTCTGGGTGTCCCTGTTAAAGGAAGCCAGATGCTTCCTTTTGGCATCTCAACTATGGAATGTCCTCTCCAGAGAGGTTCATCTGGCGCCTGTTATCTTTTCAGCAGCAGTCAAAGTCTCCTCTCCTCTCCTCCTCCAGGCCTTTAGAGACAAATTGTTCTGGCTGTTTTATACATTCCTCTGCTATTTAATGTTTTGTGTCATATCATATTTTATTCTTTTATATATTTGCCTTGTATTTTATAGTTTAACTATTTGCAGCTGCATCTTAGTCTTTTCACTGTTTGCAATCCACCTGCAGCAAATTGGTTCTTGTTTGGATTAAAATATATAATAAAGAAATAAAGCCGAATAAGTTTAATAAGCTACTTGAGAAATGCCTTCAGTTTGATAGATGTTAAAGAATATAGAGTTCTTGCATTCAAACTCACGTTCAGCTAAACTCTAGTAAACATCACCCAGCAATATTTTATGAGCTTCCCTCTTCTCTTCTCACGAGCTCCAGATGTGGTCGTGCAGGGCTGACAATATGACTGACTGGTACTGCAGTCCAGATGACCTCAGGAGCAATGTAAATGCAGAGTCCTGATCTTGTGGTCCCCATGGAAATTCTTTCTACTACGGAAGAGTTTCTTGGCAAGTGTTTCAAGGAATTTCAGAGGAGCCCAGTAAAGGGTGCTAGTGGTGTTTCTGCTTTTCTTAATTGCCCCAACTTTTACAAGAATCGCTTGAGAACCTGAAGTGACAGTACTGCTAAAGGGTCCTTATGAAGGGATGGTTGGTTGCTAAAAGCTACAAATAACAGATTCTGCTTACTTGCAGGGTAGACTTCAGCCAAGCACTTCCCAGTGGTTTTATTAGCAGACATTTTCCTACTCACGGGATAAATCTTTCCCTTTATTTTTCCTTAGAAGGTAAAACGGTTCAGAAAATAGAGAAACACTGTGCATCTTCTAAAGTCTGCAGGCTACACCCACATCTCATGAATATGGGACATGGCAAAGTCTTACGGTCGGCCACGGCCTGCTGCAAAGGAAAAACTTGCTCAAAAGCCTTTCCTCAATGTAAGTGTGTGCGCCCCCCCCCCATTGCCTGTTTCTTTTATTTCATCAACCCAAGCCCCAAACGTTGCATTTGGCAGCCTGCATCTCATTTTCTTGCATTTATTTTTGCATTAATCATTTGTGAACTATCAACATAGGAATCAGATTCAGTTTCAAGGGATGGAGTCCCTGAGGGCAGGTTAGCCACAATCATTTATTTATTTAAAATATTTATATGCCGTCCTACTCTCAAAAAAGCCTCAGGACGGCATACAATGTAATAACATAAATAAAATTCCTGACCCACACTGGCTGCAATTAAAAACATAGAAAAAACAATATTAAAACTTATTAAAATACCACTGGAATAAAAAGGACTTAACCTGGCACCAAAAAAAAAATAACGGCACCAGGCGGACCTCTCTGGGGAGCACATTCCATAGATGGGGCACTACCGCAGAGAAGGCCCTCCTCCGGGTACTTTGCCTCCTAATATCTTTCACGGAGGGTTCCCAGAGGAGAGCCTCTGCTGCTGATCTGAAGGGGCGGGAGGACAAATATGGAAGAAGGCGTTCCTTCAGGTATCCAGGTCCCAAGCTGTTTAGGGTTAGTCCACAATCATGGACTAACAGGTGCAATTAATTATCTATAATAATGAAAGATATGTCTGCTCTGGGACTGTGGGTGGCGCAGTGGTTTAAACTGCTAAGCTGGTTGATCGAAAGGTCAACATTTCGAATCTGCAGATGGGGTGATGGGATGAGCTCCCATGCTCCGTCCCAGCTCCTGCCAACCTTGCAGTTCGAAAGCATGCAAATGCAGGTAGATAAAAAGGTACCACTTCAGTGGGCAGGTAACAGCGTTCCGTGCACTTCGGCGTTTAGTCATGCCAGCCCCATGACCATGGAGACTGTCTGCAGACGAACGCCGGCTCCCTCGGCTTGGAAATGGAGATGAGCACCGGCCCCTAGAGTCTGGCATGACTGGACTTAAGGTCAAGGGGAAACCTTTACCTTTATGTCTGCTCTCTCTGCCACCGTGCCAAAACTAGGAAAGCTAGGTGCCTGAAACATGGCCTGGATATTAATAAGACCCTAGAAATGATTTTGATTTATTCGATGATGATGATGATATTGGTGATGATTTTAATGAATTTAAACATGTCAACGTGTTTGAAATCTGCAGTACCCCATTTGGTCACTAGGTGGCAGATTACACTAACCTTAGAATATAACCTTGGATCAATATAGGAGTAGTTTGAAGCCTCTGGCAGATGGAAGCGGACCCCTTCCCTCTGCAGGCTGTGGGGGCACACAATACTAGGGGGCCTTGCCTAGGGATGCCAGGAGTGTCTCTCCATGAAACACTGCAAAGAAAAGAAAGCTGGCCTGGAAGATTGAGTCCAGCTCAACTGGAGATATTTTCTGCCAAAAAGTAAACAAAAGGAGAACCTTGCTATTTCAAAGCATTCTATGCACCCTCACAAAATGGTACCCCCCCCCATTCTTTGCTGGGGGAAGGACTGTAAAACCGGCTTCCCTGACTTGCTATCTTCCAGATGTGCTTGACTACAGCTCCCATCATCCCCAAAGCTGTTCAGTGCAACATTCCATCAAGTCTAAACCCCTGCCTCCCACTCTGGCCAACCACTGGATATCTCTGAAAAGCCCACAAATGGGGCATAAAGGCAGTCGCCTGCCTACTCTTGAACCCATGCAAGGGTAATTAGCAGTACGCTGCATCAGAGGATGGAGGTTCTATTAAGTGAACGTCATTAATAGCCATGGGTTGATCTATATTTTATGAATTTGGGTGCTTCTAGATGAGCCTCTCTGGAATGCCTCATTCATGGAATTTGGAAAGGGGGTTCCATTTTTAGCTGCCCCCCCACAACTTGGTGTGTTCTCACCACTTTCATCATTTTTCATAGTACAGAAAATCTGTTGAGCACTAAAGGTTAGCCCTCTGTCGGGAGGCCCCCTTTCTGCAAGTCCTCTTTAAAGCTATCAGTCAATTTAAAATATCCACAGCAGCCACACCTGCATGCTGTTTTAATGTTATAGGTCTCTCCAGGACTGACTGTCTTTAAGATGCCTGCAGATTTTGTCTCCCTCTCTCTCTCCTTTGAAATAGTACCAGCGCTGGGCAGACAAAATGGAAAGCAGTGCCCCTCCTGCTACTCGTGGAAAGGAGCGTGTGAACCAGAGTTATTACACTGCAATGGAGCAGAGACTTTCTGCTTTGAAATGTTTTCCCGGAAATACGTTGGTAAGTTTTGCTTGGAAAGCAATGAGAATATGAGTTCTCCCCCATTTCAGCTGCGGATGATGCTGATGATGATTATACTTTTATACCACCCCAGAGTCCATTGGGCTCTCTGGGGGATTTACAGATTTAAAAATGTACATAGGAGCAACACAATGACATTAAAAAAAACAAAAAGTGAAATGCTATGCCCGGCAGTGGGTGGGCAGTGGTAATGACAGGCCGAGGAGAGTGGTGTAGCTGCTCAACCTCTCCAAAGATCCTGTGCTGGCAGGCCAGGCCTCCTCTGGAGGCAGGTGTAGTGGGTGTGGATGGGCTTGATCCGCGGTGATGTCTGACTCCTGCACAGCCTAGTGGGTGGAACCAATGGAGAAGGCTGCCTAGGTCGTGAGGGAGCCCTTCCATGAGACCCAGTGAGATGGGTGTTCCCCTGGCAAGTTCTGGGTACCCATCAGGCAAGGGAGGCTGGTGAGCTTCCCAAAACTGGTTCAGAACCTTGGACTGCTGCCATAAAGCTCAAAAGAAAAGCTGCAATGGATGAGAAGTCCCCGGGACCTAGGAGCCATCTTTCTCCCATGCCTTCAGGGGAGTGGAGTAAGAAGCAGATCTGACCTAAGGGGTACCATTTATGGGGACATTCTCTTGTGGGAGCCCCATGGAATGATTCTAGTGTTGGGCTGAGCCAACCCCCATCCCCCACTTGAGAGGCATATGCACACACATTTGTGTGGGGTTGTACATCCCCTCTGAAGGTTTGTGGGTGTGGGGCTATTCAGTGATTTGGGGTATCAGTGGGGAAATGCTGAGCTTTGCCACTGCTTCAGGTTGGTGTCATCCCTGCTGAGAATGCCCCAACGGAAGGAATTATTCCCATGGGGTGCTCTGTCCAAGTTCGTTCCCCTAATCTCTCAACCTTTCTTCCATGCCCAGATGAAGGAATTAAGAACTTGATCATGATGGGTTGTACAACTAGAGCCACTTGCTACGCAATCAATTACGGACAAATGCCTGACTTGGAAGGTTTGGACACTGTTGTGATAAAGGCCTGGTGTCAGCGAGAGAGTTCCAAAGGCTCCCGGATTTCCAAGCTTATCCTATTGACCTCAGCTGGGCTTCTGCTGCTCACAATCCTCTCCTAGAAGACACCCATGTGGGGCTACCTCAACTTCGCTTCCAAGAATGCTTCTACTTCATCCATTGCTCTGAATTAATTTTCACTACCCCAGTAGACTTTCTTTTTTCCTCAATGAAAATAAATACCATGCTTCAAAGGAATGGCATTGGAATGTGTGATGGCTAATTATTTAATAGATGCTTGTATCGCTTAGCTTAAATTGCCTACAGATTCTGGTTCAAACCCTGGCAACTGTTGGCAAAATAATTAACCGACTCCTTTTTGCCCAACTCTTTCTGAAGCCATTTCTGCTGCCACCAGATGAAAATCTCTTAGAAACATAGAAAC